AAGAGCTTCCAGAAAAAGGGGCCCCTCCTTCAGGATTCCTTCTCCAACACACAGCTATACTTGTCCCACGAAGAGATCACAAGGGAGGGATTGCGATGGAGTTCACCACAAGAGTCTCCAACTCTCTCTTTTGAATATAATGGACTGCTGGTCATACAATGATGTTAGCAATGTCTGCATCTTTCCCCCAGCCCAAGGAGCAAGGCTCTCCAAGAGGATTTGCAGTGACCTGTAGTTATGTTTGTAGAACCTCCTAACCTAAGGCAGCCTAAGGGGGTCTCTGGATAAAACCCACATTAAAATGTGTATCTACTACATACATGAGGGGTTAGGTCACCACACACATTCACATACTTCTAATAGGATCATCATACTTATACTGCTAATAACAGTACATTCTGTGTACTCACTACATTACAGGAAGACATTAGTTCCTCAGCATTCCTATTGTAGAGTGGAGAGGCCTCTGTGCTGACAGTCTACTCCCTAGTCTTTCCAGGGCCCAAGCCAAGAAGAAGGTAAAAGATGACACATGGTGATGAACAACCATCTGTAAGAAAGAACAATAACCCTCTGCTAGCAGGTTTCAGGGCAGCCCTGTAAAGCTGTGTGCACTTGAATGTCTGCAGTCCCAGTGAGGGCTGAAATCCGGTATAATTTCCACCCAGCAGCACATGTTACTCTGGCCCAGATTAGATCACCCAGAAGAAGGAGGGCCTCTCTCTCCATCTCACAAAGGCTCTGGCTGGGCAGAGATGCAGAACTGGGCTGCATGTTTAAGTCATGGGTAATAGTGTAGAGCATAGGGAACAGAGTCAATAACATCGTAAAAACTATGGATGGTGACAGATGATTACAGGACTTTTTGTAGTGATCACTTTGTAAGGTATGTAAACGTTGAGTCACTGTTTCACACCTGAAACTAATATAACACTATGTTAATTAAATTTTTAAAAAATTAGTTTAAAAAAGAAAACCCAGATGGCTCCTCCATAAATATTCTAGCAGCTCCTCAGGCCATGTCTGTGTTAATGATCTTCCCGGAACAATATCTGTCCTCATCAGACCATGGACTGAAGTGAGCCGAGGGGAGCATTTGGATTGAAAGCTCTCCTGATTCCATGTCTTTTGCTGGTGGTGAGTATTTTCAGTGAGCATTCTTAAAAACAATATTGATTTGACTTCCGGTCAAGATGGCGGCATAGGTAAACGCGGTCTCCCCTCCTCCCACAACCACACCAAAATTACAACTGAACTACAGAACAACCATCCTCCAGAACTGCCTGAAATCGAGCTGAATGGAAGTCCTACAACTACAGAATTAGAGAAGAAGCCACATGGAGACTGAGCAGTTCCTCACCTGCAGTGCATGGGACGCACCTTCTGCCTTAGGAGCAGGGCCCAAAAGCAGAACTGACTGGCTGAAGTCTGGCTTTTAGGATTCAGATGGGGTTCACTACAGGCAAGATGTGGCCAGGAGCCCTGCTGACACTTCTGCTCTGTTCAAGCCTTGAGGCTCAAGAAAACTCTTTCACCATCAACAGCATCAACATGGTAATCCTGCCAAACCAGGAGGTGTGAAACAGGGAGAACCTGACCCTGCGGTGCAGCGTGGACATCAGCACCAAGTCTCATGTTAAGCCTCAGCACTGGGTGCTGTTCTATAAGGATGATGTGCTGTTTCTCAATGTCTCCTCCACAGAGATCACAGAGTTATATCATCCCCCAAGTCTGGGTCTACGATTCAGGGACATACAAATGCACTGTGATTCTGAACCACAAGGTGAAACCACACTGGAGCACGAGGTGTTGGTGAGAGGAGCGCCCCCTCCCAGAGTGATGCTGGCAAGAAGGAGGTGATAGAAGGTGGGGTCGTGATGATGAATTGTTCTGTCCCAGAGGAAAAGGGCCCAGTACATTTCACAATAAAAAAAAAGTCAACCTAGAAACAAAAGAGATCAAGTCAAAAATAAAAAGATCTTCTCCGAACCAGGATACTGTGGTGCTAGAATCCACAGCCAGGAGCAGGAACGTGTGCTCTATTTCCTGTATACAGCCAGCACCGTTTCTGTGACACACCTGGAGACCTTGGAAACCACCAGGAGCGATGGTCACCATGAGGGAATCTTTTTCCAGTCCCAAGTTCTGTATCTACCCTGAGGGGCCGATCTCAGAAGGTACTCAGATGCACATTAATTGCACCATTCAAGTGGCACCCATGGCCCTGGCATTTCCGGAAATCATAATCCAGAAGGACAAGGGGATTGTGGCGCACAGCAGGCAGGGCAATGCGGCCACCTATTCAGCGATGGCCACCGTGGAGCACAGTGGCAACTACACCAGCCAGATGTCCAAGGTCAGCAGCATCGTGGTCAACATAACAGAGCTTTTTTCCAAACCGAAGCTGGAATCTTCTGCCACTGGTCTGGACCAGGGTGATAGCCTGCACCTGTGGTGTGCCACCTCAGGAGCAACTGCAGACAACTTCACCATCCAGAAGGGAGACATGATTGTGTCACGGAATAATACTTTCACCAAGCCCTGGCCGGTTTGGCTCAGCAGTTAGAATGTCGGCCTGCGGACCAGAGAGTCCTGGGTTCGGTTCCCACTAGGGGCATGTACCAAAAAAAAAAATACTTTCACCAAGAGAGCCTCAGAATGGGACAGTGGGGTATACACCTGCGGCGCAGGCATTGGCAAGGTGTTCAAGAAAAGCAACACAGTCCAGATAACTGTGTGTGAAATACTTTCCGAACCCAGGATTTTTTATGACTCCAAGTCTGAGATGATAGAGGGACAGACCATAGAAGTCAATTGCCAATCCATAAATGGAACCTCGCCTATTTCTTATCACCTTTTAAAAGCAAGTGACATTTTGGAGAGTCACATCATAGACTCAAATGAGCCCACAGTATTCAAAGATAACCCCACAGAAGACACAGAGTACCAGTGCCTGGCAAGTAATTGCTACTCCTACCCCAAAATGACCAGCGCTCTTCTGTTGGTCAAGGTGATAGGTGAACGAACAGCCATCCCAGAACTGTTGACCAGAGCTTGTCTCTACGGTTGAACCTTGTTGGGCTAACTGTCACGTGCAGAACCCGCAGCAATTAGTGCTGCAGGCTGTCATCTCCAGGACTTGCTGACAATCTCCTGGACTCCCATACCCATTGTCTTGGGTGGATGTTTTTCCTTGAGCCTCTATCCGTGCCTCTCAGAGGCCTCAGGAGTACCATCACCTGCATCTCTGAGATAGTCTGCATTCTGTTATAAAAAGCCTATCAGCCACCTGGCCAGTGTGGCTCAGTAGTTGAGCATGAACCCATGCACCAAGAGTTCCCCAGTTCAATTCCCAGTCAGGAAATATGCCCAGGTTGTGGGCCCAATCCCCAGTGGGGGTCACGCAGAAGGCAGCCAATCGATGTTCTCTCTCATCAATGTTTCTATCTCTTTCTCCCTCTCCCTTCCTCTCTCTCCAAAGTCAATAAAGAAAAAAATATTAAAAAACAACAACAATATTTATTTTACTCACTCTTCATCTCACTCCAACACGATGCGCGTACGCACACACACGCACTCACACACACACTTCATTGGAAAATACATTTTGGCCACAGATAGGTAGTGAAAAGGAAGGTCACTGCATGTCCTCACTTGAGTGGTCATTCACTCAGTTATGCCTTTAAGCAAGAACAAATTCCGATCAGGATGTCACCTCGAGGCCCGGGGAGATGGCTCGGCAGTGTGGGGAGTTTAGGGAGATGAGAGAGCGATGCCGAACTGCCAGCTGTGTTCACAGAGGCAGCAGGGCCTGAGAACCCTCTGCTCACCTGGATTTGTTATCTCTCCCTTTATTTTCCAAAGGCGGTGTTTCATAGTCTGTTTTGTGATTAGATTATAGTTAGATATTGTGAGTCAGAATGGTAAAATTTATATAAAAATTGCTCTCCATTGGAATACAAAAAAAGTTCATAAGGGTCCCCTCTGGGGTCTTTCCTTGGGACTGATGGGTGGAAGACATGTTAAGTGTGGAATAGAGGTAATTGGTTGAAGACATTGATGCGATATAACTACATAGAATGTGTGGATGACATTTTCAAGTATTAGAGATATTTATTTCTCTCCTCTCGTATTCTTGGAGAGGGAACAGAACTTCAGGAGGATTAAATAATGGAAAGAAAACCTCTTGTCCCACCGGCTCATTGCTATTCTCTCTTCCCCATGGGTAGCTAATGCTCACGGTAATTACTGAGATTTTGAATACCTGTTCATAATAACTATGCTGCATGACATCAGGGTCACTGAATTCCACTGACTTACTACTTTCTTGCACTGGCCCATCTGACCTGATGCCATGTTCACCCATCCCCCCACTTCTGACCTGTGCCTGTGCAGTAGGTTCCTCACTATGAGGTGGGTCCACCCATTTTTCAATCTCTCTGGAATCGGTTAAGTTAATTCAGGTATATGTGTCAGGATAGAACTACATTCTCCACCCTAGCTTAAGTATTTGTGAAACCCGTCATTCAAAACCATATTTGGCTCGCATATTTTGCTCAGAATCCTTCCCGCAAAGTGAGAGAACCCAATCAATTGTGTTTATAGGTTGGAAATACTGAACAGGTGTAAGGAAGCCACCCTCGCTCCGTATGCCTTCAGGCAGCATTAGTGGTGCACTGCAATGTTGAGAAGGGTCAGGAGAAAAGAGTTTCGCGGTGTGGAGGGTGATTTTGAAATTATTTGACATGAGAAGTAATCTCTTTTTAGATTGCTTCTGAATCATCTTCATGTTGGAACCATGAAGTGGTTAGCATTTTCCCAAGGTTTTAATGTCAACTTGCTCTCTGTCCTAATGACACAATCGTAGAGCCCTGAGCGGAGACCAGAGAATGAATCAGAAACACTTGGGCGTAATATTTGACTACTCAAAGTTCTGGCTTTATTTCCATTGGATCAAATGCTTCTGAAAAACTGTAAATAAGTTTTGTCTATTTTTACAGTGATAAATCAAATGAGAATCTCATTGAAGACAGACTTGTTCAACTGAGATGTCACTTTACGTGGAAGTTGCAGATTAAAGACATTGAACTGCGTGATTCAGAAAACAGGGTCTTCGAAGAGATTGATTTCCTAGACACAAAATTCAATGTGGGAATACACAACCTACTGGCCTATGTGAAACACCTGAAAGGTCAGAATAAGGAAGCCCTGGAGTGTTTGAAAGAAGCTGAAGACCTAATCCAGACAGAACATACCGACCAGTCAGATGTGAGCAGTTTGGTCAACTGGGGCAACTATGCCTGGCTGTACTACCACATGGGCAGACTGCCAGACGCCCAGATTTACCTGGACAAGGTGGAGGCCACTTGCAAGAAGTTTGCCAGTCCCTCCTGCTACACAATGGAGAGTCCAGAGATGGACAGTGAGGAAGGATGGGCCTTGCTGAAATGTGGAGGAAAGAATTATGAACGGGCTAAAGCCTGCTTTGAGAAGGCTCTGGAAGTGGACCCTGAAAACCCTGAATTCAACACTGGCTATGCAATTGTTATGTATCGTCTGGATGGCTTTACCAAAACATCACAGGTCGATGAGGCATATTGTCTGCAGCCCCTAGAACGGGCCGTCAGGCTAAATCCAGAAGATGCATATATTAAGGCTCTCCTTGCCTTGAAGCTGCAGGATTTCAATCGAGAAGCTGAGGGAGAAAAGTACATTGAAAAAGCACTGACCGACACATCTTCACAGACCTATGTCTTATGATATGCGGCCAAGTTTTATCGAAGAAAAGGTTCTATAGATAAAGCTCTTCGGCTCTTAAAAACCGCTTTGCGGGCAACACCCTCCTCTGCCTTCTTGCATCACTAGATAGGGCTTTGCTATAGAGCAAAAGTTATTCAAATAAAGAAAACAGCAAATTGGCAGCCTAGAGGACGGGACAGAGAAAACATCAACAAAACAACCAGATTAGCCATATCTCATTTTGAATTTGCTCTGGAACAAAAGCCAACATTTGACATTGCTTATATACACTTAGCAGATATGTACATAGAAGCAGGCGACTACGCAAAAACTGATGATCTTTATCAAAAAGTGTTCCGCATGACACCACTTGAAGATGAAAAACTGCAAAAGTTATATCTCCACCACGGTCGATATCAGGAATTTCAAAGAAAATCTGAAGTCAGTGCAATGATCTATTATTTGAAAGCAATAAAAATTGAAAAGCCAACAGTAGTAAGAGATAGAAGTATCACTTGTTTGGAGAAATTAGTTTTAAAGAAACATCAAAGAAATGCAGAGGACATAGAAAGCTTGAGCATCCTTGGGTTCATCTACAAACTGAAAGGAGAAATGAACAAAGCCCTGGAGTATTATGAGCAGGCCCTGAGGCTGGCTAATGAGTGAGAAGTGTGTGGGACATGTCCCTTAGGTGCTGAAATATGGCCCATTTTACCTTAATGTATACTAATCATCATTTCTGCTTGCTGCTTTCAGAAACATGTAATTTTTGAACAATTACTCAAAACTGATAAAAATATTACTTGTATTCAGAAAACAATGAAACAGAATATATGTGTCTCTGTGTGTGTGAGAGAGGAAGAGAGACATAAACCATTTCTCTGTGAATGTTATATAATAGAAATAACAGTTTGTTAAGTAAATTTGTAGCAAATAAAACACTGCACTTGCATGAAGTAAAACGATTCATTCATTTGATCAACACATAGTCTTCAGTGCTAGAAACCAAACATATTATGGTGATGTAAGAAAAATTCTTTCTCTCTACCCCTCTTAGGTTTCTTGACTGGGGCCTCATAAATTAGACTAAGAAAAGACAGACCAACAAGAGAAAACCAAACAAAAGTTTATAAACATGTGCATCTTTCATAGTCATGGGACTATACAATGTGGAGGAACTCAAAGAGGTGGTTAGAACTCGGGCTTAAATAACATCGTAACAAAAGAACAATAAACTTTTAGAGAATTGGTAAGGCAAATGAAAAGAACTGAGTTTCTAGGGTGGTGAATTGGAGGAAGGTAAATACATGGGGCAATGCTGCTGGAAGACACCTGCTGTTAGTAAGGTTTGTTATATAGACTCCTTTGGTAGTGACTCTGGGCGGATACAGACCAGAAGTTGTTTTAGGTGATCACCTATTTAGGCAGATAGGGAAATGGCAGAGCTTTTTTTCTACAGCTCCCACCCCCAGCTAAAAGTAAAGCATTCTGTGAAATCTTTTGTAAGCCAAAATAGTACAAAGCAAAGAAGCAATTACCTTAGGAGATTTTTGGCTAATGGAATCAGATAAAGCACAGATGCTCACAGACACAACTCAAAGCCATGGCAATGTTGTGCTGGATGCTGAGTGTACCTCCTGGGGGAAGGGGCTTCGCCGCTGCGGTAGTGCTCTGCCCCTACAAACGCTCCGTGCAAAACAAATGATGAATACTATTCTTTTTGCCTTTATTTCATAAAAGTGAGAAACCTCTTCAAAACTTTCAATTAGCAAACCCAGGTGCTAATATACATCTTTTCATAAAAGCAAAGTGGTATAAAGTAGGGATACCTGTATCTGCATCTCCTCAATTGCCTTCAGCTCAAAATAATCCTTATGCCAACATAGCATACTTTGGAGTGGCATATTCCGCTTCCCTGCAGTGAACCAAGCAGGCGTTTTCTCCAAACCTTATGCAACTTACAATCTAGTAAGAGAGACAGACAGTAAAACAAGTAGTCACGTGTTGGTTAACAATGGGAATAGTTCTGAGAAATGCATGGTGGAGCGATTTCATCACGATGCAAGCATTAGAATGCACTTACACAAACCTCGCTGGTCTAGCCTACTACACACTCAGGATATCTGGTACAGCCCATTGCTCCTAGGCTACAAACCTGCACCGTATGATTCTATATGCAGTATGAATACTGTGGCAATTGTAACACAATGGTCCGTATTTGTGTATCTGAACATATTTAAATATGAAAAAGGTGCAGTAAAAATACAGAAAAACGATTTAAAATAATTGTACATCTGTATAGGGCGTTTCCCAGGAGCGGAGCTGGCATGACTGGAGTTGTCTGGGTGGGTCAGGGAGTCAGTGGTGAGGGAATATAAAAGCCTAGGACATCACTGTGCACTACTATAGACTTTATAAATACCACTTAGACTATACTATTTGAAAATAGATATTTTTCAATAACTTTTTGACTCTGTAATAACACTTTGCTTTGCTTGAAACACAAACACTATCCAAAAATATTTTTTCTCTATACCCTTCTTCTATAAGCTTTTTCTCTTGAAATTTTTTTTTTTTTTTTTTTTACTTTTTAAACTTTTTGTTAAAAACTAAGATACAGCCCTGGCCGGTTTGGCTCAGCGGTTGGAGCGTCGGCCTGCGGTACAGAGAGACCCGGGTTCGGTTCCCGCTAGGGGCACGTGCCTCGGTTGCAGTTTGTCCCCGGCCCTGGTTGGTCGTGCGGGTGGCAGCCACTTGATGTGTCCCTTTCACGTCGATGTTTCTCTCTCTCTCTCTTCCTCTCTCTCCCTCCCGCTCTATCTGAACAAAAAATGTCCTTGGGTGAGGATTAAAAAAAAAAAAACAAAACTAAGATACAAACACACACATTAGTCTAGGGCTACAGGAGGTCGGGATCATCAATGTCAGTCTTCCACTCCATATCGTGTGGCACTGGAAGGTCTCCCGGGACAATAGCAAGCATGTAGCTGTCATCTCTTATGATGACAATGCCTGCTTCTGGAATACCTTCCAAAAACCTGCCTGAGGCTGTTCTTGAGGAGATGTCACTGTTTTCAGAAATATGTCTGTGGAGGTTTGCTTCGTTTGTTTCTTTTTTTCACCACAGATGTGCTTATAAGCCAAAAATGCCCCATGAACATTCCTCTGTATTAATAAAAACCTTTCCGTTTGGGGGTCTATGGTTTCGATCTCTTTTAGAAGCTTGTTGACGTCTGCAAATCTTCTGCTAAACCCTCCATTGTAAATTGTCTTAGTGTGGGGAGGGGGGAGTCTTCTTTTCTCCTGCAATTTTCTTTTCTCTTGCTTCTTCTTCAGCTATGTGTGTTTCTTCCAGTTCCAACAACTCCTCAATGGCCCATTGTTCAGGTACCACCTCTAGGAGCTCTGCGCCCGGATTAAAGTTTTTCGCCATCTCAACCATAGCCTTATTGATTTTTGCAAGCTCCTCATCACTGGCAAATCCACTGAAGTAACGGATGAACCTCTTGAGTTTCTTCTTCAGATGTCCATCATACTCCTCGGTGACATCATCCCAAGCCTAAGCAAAACTCTGTGTGGACACAGATGCTGTAATGCTTCCGGAATTGCACCTTCCCCCACCGCAGTGGCAGCAATAGCCTGCGCAGAGCTCCTCCTGAGGGAGTAGGCCTTAAAAGCTGCTATCACTCCTTGATTCATTGGTTGGCTCAAAGAAATGGTGTTTGGAGGGAGAAACACCACTTTGATATGGGGATGAAGATCATCAATAAAGGAGGATGTCTAAGAGCATTATCAACAACAAACAAAATCTTGAGAGGCATGTTATTCTCCAACCGGTATTTCCTCACTTTGCCGGCAGAGCAATTCAGAGGGCATCTGGGAAGAAGAGCTGGGTCATCCATGACTTCTTATTGTTCTGGTAGTACACTGGCAGTTGTGGTGATTGATATTCTGAAGGCACAGGAGTTCTCAATGTGTCAAATCACAAAGCGTTTCGATATATAGTCTGTAACATTGTCCCCATTATCCTTTCTTAAAAGCCTTGGGAAGCTAGCAGTGACTTGGTATTGTCTTGACATCCCCAAATTCTCTTCATCTGTATTCAACTTCTCCTCTCCTACTTGAAATCCATCTGCTATCTCTTTCAGGCTATGCTGTGAAAACTAATTTTTAAAACAATTAGGCATATACATGAGGGCGTTATTTGTAGCAATGTTTTTCAACTGAGGTGGGGGGAAGGGAAGAGGAAAGAGGAGGACTCCGCTCCTCAGGACAAAAGAAAGTTGCATTTAGCCAACATCTAGAGACAATGTTGGTTGTCACAACTGCAGGGCTCTGCTGACATCTAGTGGGTATATGCAAAGATGCTGGGTAAACATCCTGCAATGCACAGGACAGCTTCCCACAACAAAGAATTATCCAGCCTAAATGTCAATAGTACCAAGTCTGAGAAACTCTGACTTACATCCATCTTCTGGAAGAGCAATTGAAAATGAGTGTTTATTCTGAAATTTGAGTCATACCTACCTATTTCTTAAGTTTCAGTTCCCCAAGCAGATTTTAGATCAGTTGACATGTTTGGCCCTTTATTTCTCTTTCTCCTGTTGCTATGTTTTACATGTTCATAAGAAGAAATTCAAAGGACAATACACTATTGATTTTCCCAAGAATCCACCCAATCCAACAGTCTGAAAAAAACAATTGCTATTCAAATACAATCTAGTAATTTCAGCACGTTCAACACCCACTCAATAGCCAGGACTTTCTTCTTAATCCTGAAAATGTATATCCCTTTAAAATTTTTATAGGTGTCCTTTGTCTTTCTGAATTTGAATTTCTAAAACATATAATAGATAACCAGGTTTTCTTCCTTTGATTTTTACCACTGAATGCTTGCTATTCATTTAAACCTCAATAAACAGAGACTGTCTCTTGGTCCAGATACAGCTGAGAGGAAGGAACAGAAAGAAGTAGGAACAAGGAAATCAAGTATAGTCAAGGCACTGGAAATTTTTTCAAACATTAGAGCTCTATTAAGCTTTACTATATCCTTGGTAAGAAGGAAATTCTAGATTTATTTTTCTACTGAAACCATTCAGTACCTTTCCAAAATGTGGTTTCCTACTTAACATAAATATGACAATAGCCTACAAGCCACCACCACACACATTACTTCTCTGATCTCATGTCTTACAACTTTTCCCTGCTCTCTCCACTCCAACCACACTATCAGGCCAGCCAACTCTGCTCCTACCTCCAGGTCTGTATGCTTACTGTTTCCCCTGCCTGGAGCCCTCTTCCCTAGCCTCATAGGTACAGTGCTCACCCCTTCACCTGGTTCAGGTCTTTGCTCCATGGCCACTTTCTTAACAAAACTTTCTCTCACTCACCTATTTATAATAGCAAAACTCCCTAACTCCAACCTTCAGATTTATTAGATTTAACTGGTAGAAAACTACTAGAGTGGCAATATTGTCTTTTCCTCATAAACAAGGGGTGACTAAGCCATAATAATATGTGTGCTGAAATACTTTACCAATTAATCGTACTGACTGCCTTGTTATGCAATCACAAAAAATAAATAGAAGGACAGAGAAATTGATGGAAGAATTGATTCGTAATAAAGAAAATTAGTAAAATGTTACTGTAGCATCTAGGTAATGAGTATATTAGTGTTTGTTATAAAACTCCTTCAACTTTTCTGTTTGATGATGTTCATCATAAAATGTTAGGATGAAAAGGTCAAAACAATATCTAAAAAATAAATCAAAGTGAGGCAAATATATACATATGGGATAGAGGATAAAGCCACATAGAAAAGAAGTATTCCAGCCCTGGCCGGTTTGGCTCAGCGGTTGGAGCGTCGGCCTGCGGTACAGAGAGACCCGGGTTCGGTTCCCGCTAAGGGCACGTACCTCGGTTGCAGTTTGTCCCCGGCCCTGGTTGGTCGTGTGGGTGGCAACCACTCGATG